CTCATCCATCCTCAGCCACAGAAGCTCACTGGGTTACTTTGGGCCAATCACTCTCTCCCAGCCTAACCTATCTCTGGTTTGTTAGTGTGGGGATAAAAGGAGAAGGGAATATTATGTATGTTGCCTTGAGCTCTTGTACTAAAAAGATATAAATCTAATAAATAAACAAGTTATGAAAAGTCAAAGGGTAGAATAACCTTAGTTAATGGTAGAATAACTGCTTTGCATGCAGAAAATTCAAAATCCAGTGCTTGACATCTTTATGTTGGATTGAGAAAGACTCCAATCTGAAAGTCTGGATAACTGCTTCCGGTTAGCATAGACAGTAATATCCTGGTAGACTAGTAGTCTGCTATCAGGTAGCTCTGTATGCTCCTGTGCATTATTTCCATGAAAATGTGCATGGAGCTCATATTATCTCAGCATGATACATTAAGTTCCCCATTAAAATATTCTAGCAGAAATTCAGAGTACAAGTACTCAACTGACTTCATATATCTGGTTGATCTGCTTGACCCGAAACCTTTCTAAGTTCACAAGCAAAATCTAACTTTATTTTTAGGCACACTAGACTGGGAAATCCCAGCCTTATATACAAAATTAGTACATGATGATGCCAGTTTATACGTAGTGAGCATATACACCACAGGAAATAGATGAATGGAAAAAGAGGCAATAATTTGAAGGCTTCCTGGTAGCCTTTTCAGACTAGTCCCACCCACCCCTTCTTCCTTTTTTAACAGCTACAATTCTTAAAAGCCTGCTTAGGAGAGTTGTTGTTGCTGCTCTTTGAAATTTAATCATTTCTAGAGCGTATGTCATCAAGCAAAGATTGAGAGTGTCTTATTCAGAAATATTTAGGCTTAGGGTTGTGCTGCTGATCTCAGACAGACAGACAGACACACTATCTCCGGGGGAGATGGGCGGCATACAGTATAAATTTAATAAATAAAAATAAATAAAATCATTATGGATCATTGAGCAATGGAGGCAGTGCTTGACACCTGAGCTCTTTTACTATTACAGGGACATTTGCCTTGGGGCCCAAAAAGATCTATCCTGGAAGTAAGTTAGGATCAGCAAATTTCATGCTGGTGTAATTTTCTGCCAAGTCAAGGATGGATGGATGACACTTAACTGAGCAGCAGGAAAAGGTCCTAGGACAGTGATTACGAGGACCAGCCCTGCCTAAGGACAAAATATGGTCAGTTATTTTTTCTGTGATCAGAAACAAACTGGAAAACCCATATTTCAGCGTCCTTCAACACACGATGTGCCACCTTACTTTGCCTGAGGTTTGGTCAGCCTGTTAGATCCCCTCATGAGGAAAGAAGGAATTAGGAAAAGAGATGAGTCACCAGATGGGAATTTGGAGATGGGAAAGCAAGCCTGAGCAGTGCAGCTCTTCTCTCACCTTTTCCAATGCTTGCTCATTTTGCCTTGTCCCCCATTTCCTAAGCAAGCTGGGCCCTAGGCATCAGGACAGCCAGGGTGGGTAGAAATGAAGTTGCAAACTCCCCTGCTCAATTAAGAACATCCCAGACTTCAGAATAAAACCTGAGATCAGGCCATGGTCTTTGTTAAAGATCAACCTTCCCCAGTCCAGAGCTCTCCAGTTTGCTCGGCTTCCCATCGTTTCCCAGACACCAGGCTGGCTGGAGTATTATTGAAGATATAATCCAGCCCATTTTGAAGGCACACAATTGGGAAAGATTGAGGAAGTAAAAGAATCTAAGCAATCTGCTCAGGGCAATGTAATCATATGACCATTGTTTAGGAAGAACTGTAGAATGCGTCTACTTGCTCAATCTAGCCAGGAGATGCGCAGGTCAAATGTTCAACAATTTTGCAGTGAAGCTCAACCCTATTCTGCCTCACCCCTTCTCCCTCCCATGCAGCACTGCATGGATTCAAAGGCAGGAATCTTGAGCTGCCGGTGTGACAATGGTACAGTCAGAACTAAAGGAAGAAGCCTGGGGGGCGGGGGGGAGGAGGCTAATGAATCATACCTGTCCCAGTGAGTCACCAAGAATTCAAGCTAAACTCTTTGAAAGTTTCCAGCCCTAAAAGCAAAGCAGAGCAACAAAAGAACATCAGCTAGCAAGCAGCAGGGTCTTGTAAAACAACAACCGCAATCAAGTATCAGCCTAAGTGCTTTGTGACCTGAAATGTTTACTGTGCTGAGTTTCTGGAAAAGGCATCCCCTTAGTCACATATGCATTTCCTGGCACAGATTAACAGCTTCTGGGGGACATTTTGCAGCAATGATTAGAAAAGGTTTGGTGTCAAAAGCTTTAGAGTAGAAAAAGATACTACCCTTTGTCTCAGTGGTGGATAAAACCCCAAGGCAGAGATCCAGGGCTGTCTGCAGGGGTGGTCAAAAAAGTCAAGATGGAAGCCATGTACTTGAAGCCATACTTTTCTTTTAATGCAGCTCACATAAAAAAAGAGGCAGGATTTTGGTCCTGTGGTTACAGCTACCATCTTGTCTTTTTTTAACTCCTCTCCTCCTCCCCCCCGCCACACTCAGGCACCCCTGCCAAGGCATCACAGGTCTGAGCAAGGGAAAGGGAGGCCCATGTCAGAGCCAGCCAGGCAAGGGAGGGAATTGGGTGGTAGCAGCACAGAGCAAACTGGCCTAACTTAAGTGTCAAAGCATTGCCTAGAATTGACCAAGCGTGCTTGATTTCCCCTGCCTTCCAGCACATAGTACTTTGCATATTCAAAACACACCCTGTTACAGAGTGGGGTTGCATAATGGGTAGGTCCAAGCGATAATGAGGGGCCCAAAGTTCTTAAGTGAACATCGTGGTTGGGTCATTTTTTGTTTTTAAAGCACGGGTTCCTTGATGCCAGTCTGACATGCTAACCATGGAAATCACACCTATTGCTTCAGTTTAGCTCTGTCTCTCTTAACCTGACATGTTGAAACTGCTTGGCCTTATCATGAGGTTGGAGGAGACAGCTTGTTTTTAGCAGCAAATATGGGAATGCCTTAAAGGTAGCAAACTGTCAACCACAGTTAATGTTGTTGTTGTTATTGTTGCTATTGCACTATAGGTGTTCAGTCCTTAGGTCATTCTGCCACCCCCAGGCCAACTTGGCAACACCAAAGAAGGGCAAGAATAGGGAGGGAGGGAGGGAAAGGAGTAGCCAGGATAGGCTTGATGTGACTATACATGAGTTTCTCAACCTTGGCATTTTTAAGATGTGTGAACTTCAACTCCCAGAATTCCCCAGCCAACACCCAGAATTCTTGGTGTCAAAGTCCACACATCTTACAGTTGTCAAGGTTGAGAAACATTGCTATATATTGAAGATCAGGGCAGCAGGAATCCACTTCTCAACTGCATGTGTTCTCATTATGATTGTTCTGTAACTGGGATTGATTGCCTGTGTTTGCATCTCCCCTTTCAGATGCCCCTTTACTTTTATCTTAATCAGAAGCATGAGCAGGTGTTTGAGCTAGGCTCAAATGGCCTTTTGAAATTCTTCAACAAGTTAGCAGGCAGGGAAACTGGAGGGATGATTTCTCAGAATTTTTCCAAAGGAAAAGTTCTCCAACCATTTCTCAACAGGAAGATTCTCCCATGCCGGTGAGAACAGCAGCATTCCTGGAAAAGCCCAAGGGAAGGGACTGCGGTGATGATGTTTCTCCCCCCTCCCTTTGGAAAGGGCCAGCTGAAGTGCCCATGATCTGCAATGGTTTATACAATAATACCAGTTAGTCTTGAAGGTGCTCCCAGATTTTTTATTCTTTTGCAGCAAGAAATGATCATGGCTACTACCCTGCAAGCTGTTGTAACTCTCTGCCAATCAAGGGCAATCATTACAAAGGACCTGATTGAATTCATTTTTTCCTCTATGCTGGCAACCCAGAAGCAAAGATTTGTGAGGATCTTGAGAGCAGTAGGATGAAGTACATTAACCATTTTGCAGAGGGTAAGATTCTTGTGCCTTTACAACCTGACAGTGTGCCTGAGTTCAATGGGGAAATGTCTTCTGGCAATTTGCCAGAAAAATATATTGCCTAGAAAAGGGGATGCCATGTTGTGCTTCAATCAGCTCTGTAGGTGGTCAAGGCACAAGATCCATGGAAAAGAAAAAAAATGTAATAAATAACAAGCAGTATTTTCCTTCCTTCCTTCCTTCCTTCCTTCCTTCCTTCCTTCCTTCCTTCCTTCCTTCCTTCCTTCCTTCCACCAGTATTGGTATTATTAAAAAAAAAACTAGGAGAGGGTTAACTGGAATGATGCCGTTGCATTCCTTAACTGGAATGCCCTTCCAGTCTCCTTGCATTCCAGAACTGTGTTTTGAAGAAACTGGTTACCTATGGCAACGGCTGAAAAAGAATATTACAGGCAAATTTTCTGAATCACAGGCTTTCTGGTCTATGTGCTTATTATGCACTTCTAGGCCCCATTAAACAGAACAGAACCATTTAAAAGTCACCATGAATTGCAAGCAAGACATTTAGAAACAGATAAAAGAGTTTTGGAGAAACAAGGTGTGGAATGAACTGTACAAATCAGACGTGTTTGAATCTATTTTTGTCAAACCTTTCATCCAAAATATGGCAGCAATATAAATAATAAACCAGACCTGTAAATGAGGAAACAGTACAGATGTTCTGAGTGTGAATTGCAAGCAAATCTCTAAGTCCCGGTTCACTTCAAGGCGAGGAAAGCTTTCAGTTTATAAAAATATGTAGATGTGGTTTAAATATCATGCATGACTTTGGAATTTGCAGAGTTCTGACTCTACTTTCAAAGAAGCTTTCATTAGCAAAGTACTGGTGGGCCACACTGCAAAAGCGTGGGTATATGTGAACAAACCATTTAAATGTACACAACCCAGACTTCTGTTAGTTGCAGTTCAAGCCCCATTTATCTAAATTTCTCCCTGTCTGAACAGGTTTCAAGCCTCCCAATTTATATGGACACAAAATTATGTGCTAATAAATCACAATTGGTTTAACCATTTTTTATTGCAGTCAGAATTTAGGTTAGGGTTACAAGATGGAAATGGTATCCAATATCTTTAAGTACTCCAAGGTACCACAAGCAGAACAGACAAGACATCTTCAGCCTGGTACCACCCAGCCAGCATAGCCAAAGGAAGGAAGAGTGCCTATCTGGAGAACATCTGGTTGGGAAAACCTAGTGCAACCATTGGATGGGTTTAGGGCTTCCATATCGGGTCTGCAAATGTCAGAATAGCCACTAAAAGCAGCTATTAATTTCCTGTATCTCTTTGCTGTCACCTACAGGTCATCCAACTTCCATAGTCCAGATATTGTAGCCTTGGATTGAGTTCAGATATCACGTTAAACTATAATATGATTTATATGGTTTTACTTTAGTGTGATACATGAACCAGCCACTTTAATTTATGAACCAGAGTTTCTGGCCTATTATTATATATGGAAGAGACTATAAATGCTTTGTTTACAAATTATGGCTAAAACAAACCACAGTATTTCTTCTCTAGTACCTGTTTGTTTACTCTTGACCAAAATTAAAGTTTTACTACACACAATAAAATCAGAAAGACAGCTGAGGAATGGAGTAAGAAGTACAGTGATTATTATTTATTTTTCAGAGTCTCAGTAGCAGAGAGTGAGAAGCCAGCAATTGATGTGCATTTCTCTACAGGAGAAGGAAATGAATATCATAATTAAGATAATTTTTCTAATGTAGAAAATTTAAGGTCAATTAATGCTAAACCTTGGCTTAACTTCTTACAAAGCATCACACATAATTTACATCTGTCTCTGAGGAATGGCATATGACCTTGTATCCCACATCTTTTTACTGAGTAAGGTGTGCTCCGTGTTATCGTCTTCTAATTTTAATGCTTGAAGGAAATGCTTCCATAGTCATGAGAAGCAAAATATTATCCAAAGGTTGATCTATCCAAATTCAAAGTCATAGTTGTTGGAAATCTATATTTCCAGTAACAGTAGGGATCTGCCACAGGAGTAAATATCTGAAGCGTACATAACGACGTCCCTGTAAGACTCCTTCTAGAAGCTCTTTGAAGGATGTCATTGTTCACAGTGACTGATGGAATACTGCATTCTGGAGAAATGAAGGGTAAAATATAACATTTATTTCTATAAACACTCTTTGCTAAACATTCTTCTTTAATGAAGAATAACTATTATTTACAAGTTGGCTTCCCCCCCCCTTGATTTCTTGCTTTATCCTGTTATGAGAAAGCACTTTAATATATTGATCAGACTGGAATACATTTGTGATTTTTTTCTCCCTCCCTCCTGGAGCTACAAGTGGAGGTTAATGGAGTAGCATATTAGTTATACAAATTACCTAATGAGCCAGAAAGAAGTTGTAGAAGAGCCAAGCCTTTTGATGAGAACATAGTAGATTAAAGATCTCTGAAATTTATAAGAGAGAAAGAGGGGTGGGACATTTTTAGAGCTGTCAACTGATTAAAAACATTCAACTGATTAAGCATATGAATATTATTTCAGTGAATTAATGAAATATACATCAATTCTTGTGCAAGAAACTAGCCAACTGGGCTTTCTTTGATAGACAAGCAGGTCTGCAATGGTAGAAGGCCCAGGCTATCAATCCCTAAATTTCCTCTGCCCCCAACCCCAATTTTAAATAGCCTTTAAAGGATCAGATAAGCTTTCTCTTACTTTTTTGGCTCCCTCTGACATTTAGGCTCACTATAGGCCTGATAGAAGGCATATGTAAGTTACTTTGGATTCCTTTTAGGCAAGTCCAGCCAGGAGGGACTGTCCCTTCTAAACAATAATATTATCAACACAGGACTTTGGAAGAGAAATCCAGGACACAGTTCATCATAACAAATAGAAGAAATGCACTGTGACTGGCTTCCTCCATACTGAAGTGAAAGAATACACATTACAACAGAATGGACCATCCAAATCCCCTTTGAGGTCCTTGAAGGCACCTCTGACCATGATTATTTAAAACTGACAGCAGAATTTCTTGCCATTTGGAACAGGAAACAGGTGAAAAGTATAAAATAAACTCTATTTGTATCAGAAAATAAAGAAAATCTTCAAAAATATTTTTCTGTACTTGAACTCTGCCCTCAGCCTCTAAAAAGATGGTAAGTGTGTCTCTTGGCCATCAAAAAGTAGTCCACCCTTTATGTAAAAGATGGGGTAGAAGAAATAGGTAAAGTAGGCATTGGTGAATAAAACAGTCCAAGAGACAATTTACAGAGACAGCATTATGGTAAAACATGACAGCCATTAGAGGAGAGCCATAGAGAGAGGACCTTAAATGTTCTCAGTGCTTGAATTTGCTCCTCTTTGGTTCTAAGGTTATTTCCTCAAAGTTCCCTGTTAAGATCAACCTTGAGAGACAGAGAAAACCAGCATCTGATTCTGCCTAATTCCCAGTTCTCCATGTTCTAGATTCATCTGCCAAATTCTGCTAGATCCATCTACCAAATTCAACTTCTGCTCCAGAAATTCTGCCATAACATTTTCTTTGATCTCCAGATTCTTCCAGGTTCTGCTCCATTGCCCAGTTGTAATCATTAAAAAAATGGAACATTTACATCAACATTTCCTGCTTTTCTATAATCTAGTCTGTCTACAGACTGGGAAGTCAAAAAACATCCTGGAAGAAGCTAATGGCAAACCATTTCCACATTGCTGCCAAGAACATGTCATTGACATTATTGGGAGTTGCATTCAACTTGAAGGAAACTTACTTTAGTTAAAGTCTTTAGTATGTCACATTTTACTATAAAGACGCCTTCATCTGTGCACAGTCAAGCCTTTTGCCAGTCCCAGACATCAGCATTACATCATCCTGGATTCGCTGAAAGACTGGGCAGGATACGTGCCGTGAAAATTCTTCTAACGACACAATATTTAGTGTGCCATTTGTTTACTTAGAGTATTCCTTTGTTTGCCCCCACCGTTGCCCAAGCAAGATATTAAAGTGCTAGAGAGAAAAAGAAGATAAGGCTACACAGATTTCCTGGCTGGGGCCTAAGAGAGGACTGGAGAAGGAGTTTTTGTTCGCTGTGCGTGTTAGCGTCTCCTTTTCCACCATTTCCTGAAAACAAGGCCGGAGGAAAGAAAAATCACACAGACACATAACATTTTTCCATTTGCAGAGTGAACAGGGAAAAGTAATAGGCTTGGGGGAGGGAGCGGGAGGCATCAGATATCTGCTTAGTCTTCAGAGAAAGGAAAAATGCTTGGGCGCCTGATCTGCCATAAATTGCATCTGGTGGTTGGAGCTAGAGCAAGTTATTAAAGCGACTGCATTAAAGTCATAATTCAGCAGGTCAGCAGTGAGCCGACTCTGCAGTCTCTCCTCCATCATCCCTCCCAAACGCATTTTCTGAGAGGGCTAAACTCCAGTGGCCTGAATCAGCTCTTACTGCAGTGCTTAATGACTTTTCTCCCCCTTAAAGGAGCTGAAGTGGGGAGGGGAGGGAAGCAAGCCAGTCTGCAGATGGCACCGTTTATACTCACAAAAGGATGGTGCTGTTCATCCAAGATGAGCTGGGAGGAGAAGGAATTCCCCTATCCATTTTTTGTCCCAATCTGGAAAGAAGAAGAAACTGCACTCGAGGCCTCCTATTTCAAAAGAAATTAAATTTGACTTGACTAAGGATGAAAAAGAAGACACAGTATGTTGCTGAGTGGCTGCTGATGTGGTGGGGAGAAATACTAACAGTTATTGTTATTATTTGAATTATTACAACCTGTTCAATTAGAGGTTTTCACAAGAGAGCTTTCTATAGCTGTCTGATGCTGTGGCTGAAAAAAAGACTTGGCTGAAACTCAAGTGTCAAAATTCGCAGGGAATCCAGGCAGATCTATTCAATTTCAACCAAACTGCTGGTGTAACTGGCAATGTAGTCACACTTTCTTCCAACACTTAATCCACTTTGGCTCCAATACAGTTTTTGTGGATCTAATCTACATTAGAAAACTGGGGGCTTTTTCAGGCTGAAGATTTTTTCAGATGAGGATGCCTGACAAGCAAGCTGCTTCAGGATATCCCAAGTCTACACACAAACTATGTAAAGCTGTCTTACACAAACCCATCCCACTTTTCCATCTTGGTTCATTTGGGCATTACTATGACTTGTAGCAGCTCCAGGGCTTCACGTAGAAGATTCTCTATGTAAAGATTATTTCAAGAAAGATAAAGAATTGAACCTGGAAGTTTCTGTGTGCAGTTCTAGTATTGAACTGATGACTTATTTCTTTATAATTCCTTTCTGTCTACATTTATCCCTACATTGATCCCAGATGCCTCAATGTACATTGATCCTACAATTCTGTGGGGCTGGGGAAGCTGAGCTGATTAAGCACTATGAAGACAGTTTTTCAGCATTTCCTATGACCTGTGGTGAGGGGGGTTTTCCTATTGGCAGGAACTTCCTAACACCTTGGGGTTCCCAAGGAACACCTTGGAACTCCCTCCCTCCCTCCCCTCCTCCTATGATCAAAGCACCATACTGCCTTGGTACCATCTCCCATCCTCCTCAGTCACTCAAGGACAGCTTTGTCACTGCTCCAAACATAATAGCTACCTGAGCTTCCCCCACCCACCCCCACCTTGTTCTTCTCTACTGCAAAAAACCACAGAGCAAGTGAAGAATGAAGGAAGGGCATGGCCCTAACTAGCTGCCATTTTTGACATTCTCCCTTTGGCCCACTGAAGGGATGACTGGATGACTCCCTGGGGGAAGATGGTGCACAGCAAGGAGGACATTCACAGGTGGCACAAAACTACTGCAGAAGGTCTGAGGAGTGTGGCTGGTAACGAGAGAAGTCTCCTGGGTCCTACAGTCCTTCTGTCGATTTCCCACTGCAGGCTGAGAATGTGGCAAGGGAAGCGCCGGTTGCATAGTCCAAACAAGCGATTATCATTCACACAAAACGCCCTGCAATATTTTTCTTTTTCCCCAGGCATGCCTTTATTTTTAAATTGCTTCTGCAAAGCTGTTTGCTAAAGAACTATATATGCTGCATTGTGGTACTCTGCTATTGGAAACAGCCTGAGTTACAAAATCTTCAGTAAGATTTCCAGAAAGGGATATGAGCTGGGCACAAATAACAGATCTGACAAGGAAAACAGGAGAAGGTAAAGGATGCAGAAGAAAAGTACAGAGCAAGAATAATGACAAACAGCTAATGCGTCTAAGAGTATATGGTCAGAATTCCAGACTTACTTTGGGTTATGTTTCCAACTAAGATCCAGTATCCATGCTGGTCCATGGATGAGTAATAATCTCAGTGTTCATAATACAGTCTTCCAAGTTTCACCCCCAAAATTATTCAGGCAGATGGTCCAGACATAATATTGTAGGTCACATCAAAGATGTGCATTACTAGTTTAAAATAGAATAAAATATTTAATTGGTACAAATGCTGTGTGATATGGGGTTTTTTTTAAAAGATCTTTTTTATCCCACCTTTATTCTTTTTATGAATAACTCAAGGCGGTGAACATACCTAATATTCCTTCCTCCTCCTATCTTCCCACAACTCTGTGAGGTGAGTTGGGCTGAGAGCGACAGGCCCAAAATCACCCAGCCAGCTTTCATGACTAAGGCGGGACCAGAACTCACCGTCTCCTCCTTTTTAGCCTGGTGCCTTAACCACTAGACCAAACTAGCTCTACGTAGACGGCATTTTCTTCCTGTTCACTCAAATTTAAAGATATGCAATATGAATAATGCCAAAAAAGTCACCAGTTTCAAAAGCGTACTTGATTGCAAAATCAGCTGATTCCTTGGATAGTGCCTGTTTATATAAGGAGCCAGCTTCTGCTTGCTTAGTCTTTTATTGACTGTTGCAGGAATGACTGCAGAGGTGGGAGGGAGTCAGAAGCTACAGGGTGGCTTGTGGGGAGGGGGGAGGAGAGTGTCTTGACAGCGCCTTGCAAGATTCCAAGAAATGGCCACGCAATTCCCGGGTTTTCTCTCAGGCACTCTAAGGGCAAACAGGATGTCTCACAACCTGCTTGGCTGCAGTCCTCCACTGAGAATGGAATGTGTCCTTGACACGCCAGGGGGGCTGGAATCCACCACAGTGGAAATCTTCTGAAAAAAAGAATCTCCAAACGACCACGTTGCTTCCTGCGCCTATGACTCAACCTTTATCTGAATGCTGTGTCGACTAATGGGGGCAGGTGGAGGGGGTGGGAAGGAGGTCAGATCCACCTAGCAGCCGTCCTTCCACATAGCAGATGAAACTGGGCTCAAATTTAGGAGGAGTTTGGCTGGCATTCAAATACAGATTAAGAATTAGGAGGAAATAAGTTATACTTTATAGGGGATAGACAAAAGCTTTGTGGCTGGGGCACTTTTTAACTTTGTTTGGGCTACTGAATGCATGCTAGTAGTGGGATGTGGCATGATGATGGATAGGACAGAATTTAGGGCCACTTTTTTCAATGGGGGGGCTTTGCCATTTTAACATAGGTGCATTAAGACTACTGGAGACTTAACACACTTATTTTGTTCTCCTCCAATTTTATAAAGCAAAACTGTCCTGCCATTTTTCAGAATTTTGCCTCCCTGTGATTTGGAGGTGGAGGTGGAGGGGGGAGCTTGTGGGTTGGTCACCTTGCTTTAGATAAATCAGTAGCAAAATTGTAACACAATGAAGTCTGCCACCCATGCAATTCTAGGAAAGTAACCTGTCTGGACTGTTCTTTCTGAAAGGTAGCATAGAAAGGTAGCATAGAAATCTAATAGTAAATAAACAGTTGTGGAAATTCTTTCAACAGCTAGATCTTTTCGTAAGAAAATCTATCCCTTTCTATGTGATGTTTAGGGGGAAACAAGGAAAATTTCTTTGGACTGAAGACTGTCCGTGCCCCTAAAATAGGCAAAGATAAGAGATCTTCATTATGATGCTCATGGGTTTATGGATGAAATGACAGAGGCAGACAGCAACCCAGCTACACAACTTTGGCTGTCGATCACATGCAAGTCCCTAGTGCTGCCTCCATTCCTTCTTCATCTCAAATGTTGAGGGAGCAGGCAGCATCCCTGGGTCACCTTTAACCATTTTCCTAAGTTCTCTGAAAAGGACCTGAGGGAACAAATGAAGGTGTTTTACAGCAAAACAGATCAGCCCATTTTGTTCATTTAACTTAGCACTGTTCCTTATGGCCATCACAAGGAGAGAAAGGGCTCAGTTGCATACTGAATTTAGGTCCTTGCAACCTGCTGCTTTTGGACTGAACATGCCAGAAATGGACAAAGCAGTTCTATTTAACGGACATGTAACTTTTTTATCTATGATCTTAATTTGCTTTATGTACATAAACACTCCAAAATTGTAAAGTGCTTGAGCCACATGCAAACACATACTATACAGCATGACGCATTTTTGAAAAATGGTGCACCTAGATAGTAACTGTAGTTGACTGCAGTTGCAGATGACTGAATGTTGCAAAGCGGCTTTGTCTCTGTATGCAAAATGGCTCTGAGTCAATTAAGGCTGAAATCCTGTGCATGCTCACCTGGGAAAAATCTCCAGTGAAAACAAGTCGGCCTGAGCTCCTAATAAAAACACTTTGCTATGGAGTATGTGTTTCCTATTCTTTACAGGGTTGGAATGAATTTCAGAAGATAATGAAATACTGTCTTCAGAGATACAAATGTATTATTTTCCAATAAAATAAATTACCATAGTGTACTCTATAATGAACAATAAATCTAGTACTACAGTAATCTAATGATCAAACCATAAACAAAAAGCAGGAGGATTTTCTCCTCCTTCTCCTAAGACAAGAGTAACCTTGAGGTGCAATCTAAAATTAAAGCATGGTTGCAAAAGACAAGTTCTGCAGATCCATATTTCTCTGTGAATTACGGCTCTAACCCTTCCCTGTTATTTTCTCTCACCTCCCCAATAGCAGCAGGAGAGGATCAGTGCCACAAAAGAAAAGGAAAAAATGTTGGCTGTGCTGCATACATAATGCTCTTCTTTGCTTTTCTCCTTTTCCCTATAACCGAATATTCCATTTCGCTTATATTCTAAGCATCTCTGAAGGACAATCAAACAGGCATCGCCTACCTGGGCCACCAGTCTCTGGAGGACCACCAGACGGCGGCAAAGAAATATGGAACACTTTAACTCTCTGCTGCCATCTCCTGGTTGTCCAGACATTGGTAGCCCAGATATGGTAAATGCCAATCAAATGAGCATCACAGCCAGCCGTGACAGCACAGGGAATACAGCCCTGCAGCTTTGAAGGTAGCAGCTTTTGCCTGCAACCTCCCTGGCCCCCTTTAGCCAGTGCTCACTTCAAGCACCAAAGGTAGTTTGGGAAGCGCTTCATTTCAAAGACACCTGTGTGAAGGCACAAAACGAATCTCCATAATGGTAGGCGAGGAAATGAACCTACCCCTCGCATGCAATAGATGTCTATATTTGGAAGGGAGTGTCACAGAAACAAGCTGGCTATCAAAAATCCCCCAAAATTCTCCCATGCAAATTTTGATACCTAGTTTGTCTAGATATTTTTACTGGTATCTGGTTTCAGTATTTCATATCTGATCCCCAATATTGGTTGCTAACATGCGATGACATATAATACTCAGCCGTTCTCACAGTCCCAAAGCAAAGTATCCTCAGTGAGCAATGGGCTTGCTAAGCTTTCCATTTGAGCCCAAGAAGAAGATTGTGTAAGAAGGAAAAATGATCAACAACTCATGCTGAGCTGGGGTGGGATGGAATTAAGTGGAGCCTCAATAATGAATTTTGTAGGAGAGCCACTGGGGACCCTGGAAGTTGCCTAAAAATGACACATGTGGTAATACTTGCCCCAATCTTCAGAGATAAATTTCTAGTTGATCTCTGTTCCCAACCCTGCACTGCAGTCTCAGAATCCCTCACTGCAGAATTGCAGGGCATATTCCACATGCACATTAAATTCACCCAGATTGCTGTTGGGCATCTCCAGCCATAGTTCACTTGACTTGATGGCATGCCCTCAAATCACTTAATGTTCCCTTTGACTACTCATGATGGAAGGAATTCATTAGAATAGCAATGATTCTCTGCACTAAATAACTCTTGAAGCTTCTGAGGTCAGACTGTACATTTTGCTCAAGGTATGTCTTTGAATACCACATCTGGGTTTTCTTTTCAAAAAGAAAAATCATCTCTGGGATCTCCGCTTAAGATCAACACTACAGCATAAACAGTGTTAAACCCTTTGAAATCGCTGTTTTTCCAATGAATATTCTATCCCTAAATCTGAAACCACCCTTTGTTTCTACTAGCACCTTCCAAAGTTTTCAGAAGAAAGTGTGTAGGTTGGGAAGGGTTAACCCCCACCCCCACTCCATTGTGACTGAAATCTGGTGGGTTATGCAACTGAGTTTCATTAAATTGACTATGGTCGTGTGGAAAATTCCAGGTACATTCAGAAAGACGTAAAGAAAGATGTATCAGGCCTACCATCAAATGTTATCGAGTAAAGTGTTCGTTGACTGAAACTCTTTTTCTAAGTACTTCATTTTTCCCCTACCCCTTGTCTATTCTTCATTCCCATCCACCCGTCAGTAAATAAGCATTCTGTACCCACTAAGCATACTCTGTAATCCCAGGGCAGTGGGAAGGGGTAGAGATGGGGAGATCCACGTGAGTGGATTTTTTTCTATAGCCTTTTCATAATTCAGCAAACTGGGTTTGCCCATGTGAGACAGATTCCATGCTGGCCACACTGGTCTGGAAAATGTTCTCTATTAGAATAGATAGTAATGTCGTTTGACATGAAAGAACCCCATGAATCCTCAGGAAAAACAGGTTTTTATTCTTATGTTATGTTCTTATTAACTATCGTTAATATACAATGGCATTTTGTATCCAATAGCATTTGATAGATACAATGGGGAGCATTCCTGGGGTTTGACAACTTAGGAGAATTCACTGAGGCCTATGACGTAGCACCAAATTCTAAAAAATCTAAATCTCTCAGAATTTGAGTTTTTAGTTCCAAAATAACTTTAAAAGTCCACATCCAAAAAGTAAATTTAATTTTTGTTTAGGTGCTTCTTATTCAAAAATGTGAGCAATGAACTTAAAAAGCGTGACCATTCGGAATACCTATTCATTTCCTTTCTAATTTCTTGCTCCTCTTGCCTTCGCTCCAGCCTGGGACATCAAGTAAGACCAGTGGGGTGGCTCTTTGGTTACAGTTGTTGGGGCATTTGTTCTCATTTGGCTTTACTCCACAGAGGAACATCCCAAAGTTCTTTGCCATAAACCTGCCCTCTAAATCTCCATGATGTTGCCACTGTGATGGGAATATTTATGGCTCCCTTCTTACATTACCATCTCAAAAACATTGCAAAAAAGAAGAA